GTCACCTATAGGACTTAATTGACTTTTTTATGAAAGTTCGAGAACCTATTTGACAGTTTTCCCTATTTAATTTGTATGCGGAGTACTAGTTTTCGTGGCTGTCATAGGCAAAATATGATTTGGAATCCCTATCTCAAAATGGAATTTTTTTTAAACATGTATAATCCGTGCTATTTAGGCGTGTGACCTAGCTTGTAGGTTTATACAACGTTGGTAATGGGTCAAATAACAACTTAGACTGATAAGTTATAAGCGGTCTCTAACAAGTCATTATGATTTTCCATCTTATATAAAAGTCTAGACGTAATCTATGTAGTAATTTCTTAAGGCAATTAGTTCCATTTTATCAAATGATATTTTGATTGAGAAAACATTCGGTCCATATTATCCTTGTTTTTATCAATAGTTGTTTCTTTACTTTTAAGTAGGACTTACATTGACAAGTGACACCTCACTAGTACATGATCATCCTATTTAGTCGTACTTATCAAAGGCTCCAATAGATGTCTTGCTCTAGCAATAGTAGGACAAAAATCATCTCGACTATTCACATACCTCTACAGGGTTCAAAATATGTCTAATTATTATATTTATAATTATCCGGTTATAAGTAACGTTGAATGCAAGAAAGATCAGGTCCAGCCCTCCCCGGTCCAGCCGCCGTCCGAACTCCGCCGTTTGGGGCGGTTCCCGGTGGAATTTTATGATGCAATTTTTTGAGCATGTTCTTCATCAAGTCTAGTTTGTCCATACCAAATTTCAGCTCAAAATTCGATCGGGAAGGTCGTCAAATGATTTTTGCAAGTTAACTGGTCCAGAATATGTATTTTCCGGACCAGTTAACTTGCAAAAATCATTTGACAACCTTCCCGATCGAATTTTGAGCTGAAATTTGGTATGGACAAACTAGACTTGATGAAGAACATGCTCAAAAAATTTCATCAAAAAATTCCACCGGGAACCGCCCCAAACGGCGGAGTTCGGACGGCGCTTCCCGTCCCTCCGGCTGGACCTGATCACTTCTCACGTTGAATGATATGGAAACATATTAATTCTCATGTTGATAACCATAATGTCTCGAGTATAATAATATAACACATATCATCCTTTGCAATATCTTCAAGGTTGGTATGACCAGTAAACTTGTTCTATAACTAACATCAATGTAATTAGATTTATATCTCTCTATATGCATAGTGGAGTATAGTAGTCATAAAAGCTAGTCAACATTCTTTTTTATCAATTGTCGATGTTTCATAATAACAATATCATATCATGGACTTATAAGAATATTATGCTCATAAAAATGTTTATTAATTAAGTCACATACTCAAATATAAGAGTAATGTACGTGTGGAAAGAAAAATGCAAAAAATTATTCAGGAAAACTTTTAGAGATTGAAATGTAACGTAAAAACTAAATATTGATATAAACTGAAAAGAATACACCATACTAACTTTGAAGAAAGAGTCTATATTAGATGGAGATTAACATTCTTAATTTGTATTTAGAATAACTTTTTCACATAGCTCTTTGTTAATTGTGTGATTTCTTTTTTTGGACTAAGCTTTTATTAGTTTGGCTAATAACTTTATTCCATGTACATTAAACATCGTTAGGGTTTTGGGTGGCCAATAGTCACAGTTCTCGAAGATTCTCACTTCATAGCTTTAATGATGTATATCTAGGAGTGGAACCGCTAACCTCTCCTAATAATTGACATATTTCCAGGGGCGGAGCCAGGACACTGAGCCAGTACAAAGAATATTTTTAGAAAAAAAATTACACGAAATTTGTTACCTTAAAAATTAAGCTATTTTTAAAATTTGGGGTGGGACATGGCCGAGGTTGGCCCACCCCTAACTCCGCCCATGCATATGTCTCGCTCAGGTCCACACGGTTTGGATTGCATTTATTGTAAACATACGGGGTCCCTATTAATTTCGATTTGACACCTTAAAATTCCAAATCTCTTCACTCATAAATATCAAGGATCAAGAGCACAGTTGCATAAAAACATTTAAGGAGAGAATTTACAAAAATGTATCTAGACATATGAGTATGTTAACAATCAAATAAAGCTCAAAGGTGAATGCTAAATAGCTCGATATACTCACAAAGAATAGAGTAACTAATGTAAGGCTAGAGAGAATAGTATGTGTATAAAACGTGAAGGGCGAGGAGTTTGTAAGCTTTTACAAAATCTTAACCATGATAAGAAATTGTTGGCAATTAATGATGAATGAGTTTAAATTCATGTCTTCAAAAATGGTTTTATGAAACTTAGAGAAGTCTTAAGGCATCAAGTAGTCGTTCAAATTTCAATTTTGTAGAAATTCGTGTACAGTTTATACTACACAGTCCAATCATGAGTGGTGTGGCTGATTGTTCAGTGGGCTGTGCGTTCCAACGGGTGACTTCACAAGTATGATAAGTATTTGATTAATACGCTTTGCAAAATTTAATAATTCTAAATACGTTGAAGGCCAATGATTGACCAAGCAATTCACATGCAGCCGTTTGATTCCGAACATTGAATAGATTAAGGTTATTTAAATGTCCATTTCCAACCGAAAACTAATCGTCCAAATAGGCACTTAAAAGGTCGACATACAATTTAGAATAAAATACATTTGTTTAGTTGTCATTTTGTTTTGGGAAAATGTTTTGATGCAATATAAATTTGTATGTGTATATGCCTCCACACTTTCAAACTTACTTAGTTAGAGTCATATATATACTATAGTATATAGCTTTATAGAATGAGTCATAATCCTATGACTAATTCCTTGTTGGGCCTTCAATGAGCTCTTCAATGAGTTCTTAGGAATCGAAGGAATACTAACTTAAGATGTTATCAATGACATTAATATCATTATTTATGAACATCAAAATGATAGTGTTACAGTTATAAGATGAGATAACAAAAGCACATTAAGCACGTCTAAGAAGGGAATTGTACGTAGAGAAGTATTACAACATAAACATCTCATCTGTTTGGATTAACACCAGGAAGCATTTCAAAGATATGAAATAATGATAAGCAACAACAAAATTAAGGATGCCCAGCCATCAACTTGGACATAAAGTGGAGAGTGATGTTAGTAACAAACCTTTTGCAATAGACTTGTCATAAAGGATGGATATCGGACTAAGCAATGAAAGTTAGGAATCTGAAATCAATTTCTATAACTTTAGATTATTGTAAATGATGTGTTCAGAAGTGTGAACAAAAAGGCCAGTTTTGATCGCCCAAAATTCTATCAAGCTTCAATTCATAGGGATGTGAACAGATTCTTATTAATTCCAAAACATAGGCTTACGAAGATCCTAACCTATAACATTCTATGATTGTGGTACTCAACATCATAAATATCCACCTTTAGGTGATTGCTAAGAATTTGTACCCTACCGCTTAGAAGATGCTTGGCTAGCAAATTTTTATCATGAAAGTTGAATCAATATGGAGCGAAGTCTCGCATGTCAATCATGAGGCGGCGATAGATGGGCTTTTGCGAAACACACTTACCTTACATGAAATGTATGTTACCTTTGGATGCCATGAATTCTTGTTGAGCAGTCTTCTCCCATATTTGGCACACTTGACTGAGTCTTATTTTTCTAAGATGGAAGATCCCCAAAGCCCTCTTAGTGATCAATTCGGCTCCCTTAAAAGCTCGACCAAAGCATCTTTTAAAGGCCACTCTAGCCTACTTTGGACGACATTGGCTTCGACTTTGGCTAATGTTTGAGTGACTTCATTAGCCTTCTTCATAGTAACACTGACAACATCCTAGACTCCTTTACGGACTTGCTGGATGAGCTATTTAAGATCATCGTCAACCTCATTCAAGGAAGTCGCTAGCTCTGCAACCTTGTCCTCAATCGGGGACTTTTTATGTTCACTCGCTAGCTCTGCAACCTTGTCCTCAATCGGGGACTTTTTATGTTCACTTCAACATCTAGCCTCTATACATCTTCCTCTTGAGCCCCCAACCTTTGAGTGTCTCCCATTTACCCCAGTCATGACCATTAAGGAGCAGGGGGATCAAGGAATTTTAGATGTCCTGAGGTGAATAGAAATTATACTAGGTTTAAATATTAGAGGGGTGAGCTAAATGTGAAAAATGAAAAAATTTAAACTAAAAAAATTGATTTTTTAAAGTTGCCATGGGCTTCAACCCAGTATAGCCCGTGCATAGATCCTCTCCTGTTAAGGAGTCAACCATCAATCAGAATGACTCTTTGTAAGCGTGCACGACTATAATTGGCATCAACCGATTGGCTAAGAGTGTAACAATGAGGAGACTTATAGTCACCTGAATCGTCTCCACCAAAGTGGGGAGGGGAGGGGGATCGCCTAACGCTAGAATGGGGAGCAATGGCCTTGGAAGTTCACCTATGAAGACTTGAGTTTCATCTCTTCCCTTTGCTTCTTCTCTAACCACCCCACAAGCTAGTTTGTTGGAAACATTTGACACCTTCATCTTCTCCTTCTCCTTCAGATGACAAATGTGATGCCATGCTACACCATTGGATAAAGAAGCTCACTCCATCGCCTTAGAAACAACACACATCTTCTCCTTCTCCTACAGATGACAAATATGATGCCATGCTACACCATTGGATAAAGAAGCTCACTATATCGCCTTAGAAACAACACACAGCACTCACACGATTAATCCATCGTAGCTATAACCACATCCACCTAGCAATCTAATTGAAACAGTAATGTTTGTGATCTTCATGATCAACGCTTAGTGATCCAATATCACTAAGCATGACCTTCTTGATCACTGTCGAGATTGCTGCATTAGTATCCCATAATATGATACGGAGTAATTGAATCGATTAGTCACTGGTGAAAGTTTTACCACCCCTACAATGGGTGAAATCAGATCCGTGAAAGTTCATAGCCATCATCTTCCACCTCCGGGCCTATTCATTCCAGATTCATTCCTCTATGTTACTGAAACTGATATATACAGAGTATCAATTACGGGAACATCACAAAAGATGAACTATTTGTTGGAAATTTAACACTATATTGCAGTTACATAAGAATAAAATAAATATATTAAAGACCCTTGCATTCATTGATGGGGAAAGAGAACCAAACGAGTTTTACAGTTTGATAGGATAAGAACAGCAAAGAAAAACCGATCTATTCCTTAATCCGCCGGAAAAACGCAACACTCATGCGCCTTTATGTACAAAATTAGCCACTACTGATGTCAATCGCGCAATCCCATATCACAACTCCGGGGGCGGACCAAGGCTGAGATCGAGATTCAAGCTTTTCTCCGCCGCTCCGCCGCCGCCGCCAAAATGGTTCTCCTCCGCCACAGAATAGGTGGTTGGGTACCTGGGTTCTCTGTCTCTAGATGGATTAAAAGGGCCAATCGGGCCCACCTGGGGGTGGTTCACCGTTCCGGGTCTCCACAGCGTCTCGAACAGAAAAACCTGCTGCCCGTTCGGCAGAACCGCCACCGCCGGCTGAGGGCGGAAGATCTGGTACCCATTACCCACGGATCTATCCACCGCGCCGGAACCGTCGCTGTTTCCCGAGCCAAGGGAGCGCGTCAGATCCAGCTCAAGCGGGGCGCGCGGCGCGTGGCCGCCACTGTCGCTGCCGGAGGACTCATCGACGATGCTGCTCTGGCTGGGGCTGTGGGTCGCCGAGGAAAATGGGAAGTTGGTCTTCGCCTTGGGCCCACGGAACTTAAGGGCGGCGGCGTCGTACGCCCTCGCCGCCTCCTCCGCCGTGTCAAACGTGCCCAGCCAGACACGGCTCTTCTTGCCGGGATCGCGGATCTCCGCCGCATACCGGCCCCAGGGCCGCTTCCGGACCCCTCTGAAGTGCATTTCCTTAATGGCGGCGTACCCTTTGCCGGCACCGCCCTTAGAACCGCCGTCATCTTTCCCTTTCATGGCCATAGCGGCGGGCGCCTAAACCTAGAGGTGGAGAAAATGAAAGGAGTTAAGACAATGGGGGGAGTTACGGTGAGAAGAGGAAAAAATGGCGTGGTTTAAATAAGGCTGGAATAGGATGAGAGGGAAGAAATCGGTAGTGGGTGGGGCCCGCGTAAGGAGGCGGTCAACGGGACAGGATTAATTACTTCCTCCGTAGGTGGCGCCGCCCAATTGTAAAAGGGAAAGTATTAAAAAAATGTCTGTCTGAATATTTGGGAGATAAATATTTTCCTGCGGGGGTTACGTGGCACGCGGCCGTTTCAGAATACGAGCCGTGTGAATATTTGGCTGCGGGTGCTTTTCAGGGAGGCGGCCGATCTACTCTGGATAGATATTTTTTTCCCCCTTTTATCTGACACCCATCATCGCATTTACTAATTTTCTTAATTTGATTACTGCTCGAAATTAATTTTTTTCTTAAGATCCGATTTAAATGCGGAAAATACGAAACCATCGGAATGTGTATGCTGCATCTAGGGCTTGGAGATTTGGCGACCTTTTTCCGCCGTAAATTAGCTAGAAAATGGTGGCACACCAAGAAGATTTGTAATATTTCTGGTAAAATGGCACTAACTTAAAAAATAAATATGTAATAACTTATTCAAATTTGAGATTTGTAAAGACTTCATAATGAAATAAATTAAACACGTATTTATTAATTTGAATGAAAGTGATAAAGTTTGTGTGACAATTAATAGAATATTTTTAATTGATTTGGTTTTAGTTTCATCTGATACATAAATCGATTAGAACAGATTAGATCAGTTTGAAATCGACAATATTTGATTTCGAAAATTGTAAAATACACACAGAATATACATTTACTAAACTAGGCTATACTAGTTGAGGCCAGCTCAGAAAAATTACATTCTAAGAATGTTTTCATTTGGAAAAACTGTCAAATAGGTCCTCGAACTTTCATAAAAAAGTCAATTAAGTCCTTTTATAGGAGACTTTGTCCGGTCGTCGCGATTTGGGTCTGTTCCCGGTAGAATTTTTTGATGAAATTTTTTGAGCATCTTATTCATCAAGTCTAGGTTACTCATACCAAATTTCAGCTAAAAATTTAATTGGGAGCGCATTCAAATTAATTCGAGAACGCAAAAATGCGCAGTTATCTTCAAGAATCAATTTGAATGTGTTCCCCATTGAATTTTTAGCTAAAATTTGGTATGGCTAAACTAGACTTGGTGAATAAGATGCTCAAAAAATTTCATCAAAAAATTCCACCGGGAACTGCCCCAAATCGCGACGGCCGGACAAAACCTCATATAGAAGGACTTAATTGACCTTTTATGAAAGTTCGAGGACCAATTTGACAGTTTTCCCTTTTCATTTTGATTGTTTTCAATTCCCCACTAAACGTAAACAAACCAAAATTAAACATACCGAACCAGCCCAGTTCAGATCCGATCAAACCAGATCAAATCATACTTGAACAAACCATAACAGGCCAAAACAGACCAAAAAAGATTGTTTTATCCAATTACAGACATCCTAATTAAAAATATCCTTAAGAGAAGGAAATAAGAAGGAAAAATCGCTAAAATATTACTTCTACACTCTTAAAACACAAAAATATGATTAGTTTTCTTTTTTATAAAAATACAACTAATACAGAATACATCTTTTTTTACCCCAGGGGACGTCAGGGGGAGGGGGATTTGGGGGGCCTGGGGTAAACTGAGTTCAATCTCACTCCATTGAGAATTGAACCCGGGACCTCCCATAAGGGAGAGTGAGTCGGCGACCAGCTGGGCTCGACCGCTTCCTCACAGAATACATATTTAATTGATATTTTTTCTTTTAATTCTAATAAGTACCCAACTTCGCGCACACCCACCCTCCACCCCAGCCTGCCTCAATGCATCCTCCAGCAATACCTGCTGGCTGAGGTCGTCAAAAAATCCATTATATTTCTTTTCTTTTTTTGAATTTTCATCGGAAAATGTCGCTGTAAATTGACACGTATCACGCTGACAATGACATTTATGACAATGATGATAGTGACATGTGTTAGTGACATAAAATTCGGATAGTTGCATAAAACATTGACAGTGACTATGCAACTTATACCGTGAACCCGTTATACCATGTGCATGAACACCTGTCTCAATAAAGTATCATTTTTAATTAAAAAAAAAACACAATAAATACCCCTTTACTCACACTTCTTCTCCTTTTTAGCCAATCTTTGTAGTCTTCTTTCCCTAGTTTTTTCTTTCTTTTCTTCTTCAATCATCTTCCCCTTTAACATCCAAATATTTGGAATCTAACCCCAATTTCATTCTTTTTCATCTTCAAGATTATAACTTTATCTTCTTCTTTTTTAAACACGGTAGGTAAACCACCCCTCAGTGGGACAAATGCTGGGGAACATTTGCCAGATTTTATTTAAAAAGATAAAGTACACTGAAGACAGGGAAACCAAACCAAAACCTCTCCGAAGCGGCATTTCTCTTCAAAATACAAACAAAGCAAAACGTCAAAAACAAAATAAGTTGGGGGGGGGCAAGACCTGACCCAACTTACCAACGCTAAACAATACTCCCTCCGTCCCAGGGAGAAGTTCCCGGGTTGACTTTCACACATATTTAGGAAATAAAGTTACTGAGGGGTAAACTTTACTGTTTGGCACTGTTTCGACACTGTTTGGCACTGTTTCGACACTGTTTGGCACTGTTTTGCACTGTTTGACACTGTTTTGATGTAGGATAACTTTCCATTTAGGGAAATGGGAACTTTTTGTTGGGACTACCAAAAAAGGAAAGTGGGAACTTCTCCCTGGGACGGAGGGAGTACATCCGAAAGAAGGAATATTAAATAAATCTAGGAAATAAGAACTTTTAACCAAAGGAGTAATAGATGGACTAGTTTAGCATTGCAAATGAGCCTCGTGATAATCTGCCAAATAATTGGCTGACCAATTTCCTTCATGCAAAACATGCCCAAACAAAATATTCTTCCGCTTTGCTAAATCCAAAAGAGAGGAGAGGTAGTTTGTGCGTAAACCAGTCCGGTTGCCTGAAACTTGCTCCAGCACTTCCAACACATCAACTTCCACCTGAAAATCAACGTAGGCGAGTGTCTGTCGCCCATGTAGTAGCAATAAGCATAGCCGAAAACTCAGCTTCTAAACTCGACGAAACAGAGAGAGAGAACTGAATGGAGAAGATGAGTTCTCCTCTTGCATTTCGCATCATCGCATCTCCAGATGCCGTTTGAGGTCAGAACGAAGCATTGATATTTAATTTCAATTTTCCTTTAGGCTTAGTGCAACATTTGAACAATCTATTGTTCAGATGGAAAGAAGAGGAAACTAGATTTTCTTGGAAAAGAACATCCCCAATAGATCGAAGCTTCATATTAGAAAGAGTTCTGGGTATATGATTTAATCGACCAAATAGTACTCCCTCCGTCCCGGAAAATTGTTCCCGCATTGATTTGGAACGGAGTTTAAGAAAAGTGGGAATAAAGTGGAAATGTATGGTTGTGGTTGAGTAAGAAAAAGGTAAATGAATTGTAGCCACAGAAAACTTTCCAAAAGGGGAAAGGGGAACAATTTTTTGGGACGGCACAAAAAGGAAACAGGGAACAATTTTTAGGGACGGAGGGAGTATTGTCTAAAAATGGAACAGAAGTCATATTGCAATAGATCGATAGTCAATGTTTTATTCATAATTGTGCTCCCTTGGACTTATGTTATCACTAAGTAAGCGAGGGCTTATGTGATATAACATAAAGTCCTAAAATAGTCCCAATCAATGATCATAAAGAAATTAAAGGATATTGATAATATGCGGTAATATTGGTATACATACAGACTTCATCATGTTTGAAGAAAGTGTAGTTGATCGATCTCAAAACTATGAGTTCCTGTTAATCATGATGGTCGCATAGATATTTTAGAGAATATTGGCATATCATCAATAAGCTATTTGATAAGTTATATTCATGTGTCTATAGAATTATAAGCAGATCGCGTAGTGTAATAGTCGCATCCGACTTGAAGTCAATACATAATTCATGTGTGGAATGTTGTACTTTGACCATGACCAACGCTAGCACTCCAAAAGAGGTAGATATGTCATGTATTGGGTGCATCACGAAGCACATGAAGTAGTAGTTGAGCCAAGAAAGGATTCATTCCTCGTAATAGATTAAGAGAGAACATTCTACTTTTCATATCTAGATGGATCATAAAGTCATTGGCCAATGCAAAGATATGTTCGTTTTGGATATCAAATATGATCATTATGGATCATCTAAAAAGATTGAGAGATGGAGACTAAGTTATTGGAATGGACTAAGTTATTTCCCGCCAAGAGATTTCCTAGTCTTTCTCTAAGGAAGATCGATCTAACTGTTCTTTCGTAAAAGAGAAATCATGTGGATCTCTAAGGTCAAAGATGCTTATCGCTAGGCTGGAAGATCCGTAAGTTTAAACTTCCACTGCTGTAATTTCGAGGTACATTACATAAATTTCCAAACAGTGATACCTAAGGATGAGCAAATACCTAGAGAGTGAGAATATGTAACTTATGAAAGATACATAAAACTACGTAAAGAAGACGGGAGCAAAGCTTCTGTGGAAGGGTTTGTAGCCGCAATTGAGTCGGCGGAGTCTTTAGCAGCAATCTCTTCAGCGAGAGAGAAGAAAATGGATGGAGGGCGTCACGGACAGTGAAGCGCGGACTATGGCCAGTGGAAAAGCCTTGTTCCTAACGAGTAGCAGATTGATGACAGACGAAGGGTTGGGAGAAGGTCAGAGTTCAGTCGAAGATGAATGATCAATCAAAGCAGTACTGATGGTCTAGCCTCCTCCCAAACCACCGCCATGGAATGAAAGAGGTGTTAGGGTTCGAAGAAATTTACCCTATGTAAACTACCTCGCGTCAGGCCTATCTTATGCACATTAGAGTAAGGAACGAAGCTTCAGAGCTGCGATTGCTGCTCCCCCTTGCTTAGCTTGTGGGAAACTAGCTCTTAATAGACCGAGGGATAAGGAATTTGACTCATTCACATCCAGATCGTGAATATTCGGGCATGTTACCTAGCATTCAACCTGACTTCAAAGACTTTTATACGACCAGCCGCCTATGAGTTATTGTTATTTTTTATTCAATGTAATTACTCTTATCTATCTCGTGTGTAGTTTTTTCTTTCGAAATCAGATCTTGTGGTTGGGTCTTGTGTGGGTTGTTAGGTTTTTTTGTTTGGGGAGTGTAAGTTATAAATTTGACAAAACTCTCTTTCAGATTTCAGTTGCTAACCATATCCTGTTAGTACAAATCTATGTTGATGATATTATATTTGGAAGCACTAATCCAGAACTGTGCAAGAAATTCTCTCAAGTTATGCAGAGTAAATATGAAATGAGCATGATGGGAGAACTAATCTATTTTCTTGGTTTACAAGTCAAACAAGTTCCAAAAGGGATCTTTATCAATCAAGGAAAATACACAAGAGACCTGATCATGAAATTTGGTATTGATGGGAAGTCTTCTGTTAAAGTTTCCATCACAAGGAATTGGACCTGATGAGGAAGGAAAGGATGTTGATGCAACAATGTATAGAGAAATCATTGGATCTCTTCTCTATCTCACTGCGAGCAGACCAGACATATCATTTG